CAAGATAAAAAAATCTTTTTTATAATTATTGGTAAAGGAGACAGGTCTTGATATTAAGAGTTTACCCCTCAATATGACTAAAAGCAATGTAGATGAGTTTTCTGATCTAATAAATGTTTGTTAATTATTTTGCCTAGCTCCATTTCCATTTTTAGTTCCTCTGACAATGTCTTCTTTTGGCATGGAGCTGATGAATTGAAGTGGGTTTTATTACTTGTATTGATACATCTTTTCTTTGATATAGGACCCTTATATCTGACACCCTGACCTACACCGCTCTGTTATTTAATTACCTTAGTACCTTCTCCATAATGCCATTAAAAGCTTTATAACTCCAGCTAAGGCCAACCGGCCACTGCAACTTGGCTAGCTTTAAATCATTTCTTCTGTAAGGTAGGTTTTCAAGGCGTAACTCATTAGTTCCAAGAATTGTAAGTCAGAAGGTAGCCCAAAGAGGGATGGAAGGAAAGATGGAAGGTTGGTGGTTTTTTTTCTTTTTTTTCTTTTTTTTGGCCAACTAGAACAAAGGTTTCATAGAAATGGGTTTTCCAAACTAAAAAACTTTGATATAGAGTTTAGGTGAGAATTTAAACCTCTATAATATTAAATAGCCAACTCTTGAAGAAGAAAAATCTTTTTTTTTTTCAAAGCATGTGAATGTGTTAACAATGGATTATCAACATTAGTTCACTGATAAAAGCTTCTGTGGAATGCTATAATGCCACTCAGTATGTCCTGCAGGATCAAGATGAGTACATACAATGATAAAAGAACATAAATGAGATCATAAATCTTTTAGAGAAAAGGGCATTGCAATAAGATAAACTGATAGGTTAAGAGTAGCAGGCTATGAATCTGATACGCCTTATTAACAGCTACATAACCACCAAGAACCCTAACGTACCTAAAGTGGAGCCTCAGTTGTATCTTCCCTATTAATTTCTGTTATAGCATTGAAATCTAGCTTCTTAAATTTGACAATACTATAATTAAAATATTATGTAAATTATTTATAAAAAAATTATTAAATAAATAAATACAAATAATATTACAAATAAATTTTTAAA